TGTGTCACTGTCATGTTGGAAGGTAAACCTTCTTCCCATTGACAACTTTCTGGCAGAGGGCAGCAGATTTTCTTCAAGAATTTGAAGATATTTTGCCCCATGAATTTTTCCATGAAGTGCTCCAGTCCCTGCTGCAGAGAAACACCCCCAGAACAGGATATTACCACCTCCATGCTTTACTATAGGAATGGGGTTATTTGGATGGTGAGCTTTATTGGATTTCCGCCAGATATATTGTTTGGTGTTGAAGACAAATAATTAAATTTTAGTCTCATCTGCCTCAGGATCTTCAAGGTGTGTTTTGGCAAAGCTCAGTTGTGACTGCATGTGGCCTTTCTTGAGGAGTGGATTTTTTTCTTGCAATCCTCCCATACAAGCCACATGTGTAGAGAATTTGTGATATTATTGTCACATGCACATAATGACCACTCTTTGTCATAAATTTCTGCAGCTGCTTCAGAGTTGCTGTAGGTCTCTTGGTCGCCTCTCTGACCAGTTTCCTCCTGACTCTTTCATCCAGTTTGGAGCGACGTCCTGACTGTGCTTCTAGGCATTGATAAAGCCTTTTAAATTTTTTTGCATCCATCTCCTGACTTGCGCCTGTCCACAACTTTATCCCGGAGATCTTTTGACAGTGCCTTGACACCCACAGTCGATTGTTTGCTTCAGTTGCACTACCAAGGACTGAAATGCTCCAGGAAAGTTATTTTCATGCTGAGCTGATCAAAATGAGCACAGCTGATCACAGTTGAAAGTCAAATGGCTTTGTATGCTATTGAGAATGTGATTAGCTACACCTGATTGAGTTTACAAGGCATTTTTAGGAGGGGGTGAACCTTTTTCCAACTCAGTGATTCTGTTTTTTTTTATTATTATTAAATGTTGGTGTTATCTTTCACTTGGCTGTTAAAATTTGCGCTGAGTAAATACAGCTGGATAAATTAAAAACTGTGTCCGTCTTCATATCAGGCTGTAAAGCAACAAAATGTGATTATTTTAAGGGGGGGGGGGGATTCTTTTCTATACCCACTGTATGTATATTGTTGGCTTTGGAATTGCTTATGTTCCTCTATTTATTTACAGCATTGTGTATTGGCATAAAGCTTTTAATTGAGAATTTTATTTATTCATTTAAACTCATTACCTAATATATACAGTAGTGACCTCACAAAGTATTTGGATGCTTAAGTCACACTTGGTGTGCATGAATAACAGTACATAAAAGTATCAAACCCAGTGGCATGTGAAAACAAATGAGGTTCCCTATCGATACTTCACTTGTACTGCATCTGCTAAGACGCTATGGGAAAACTCCTTTTTCTCTGATGACTGGAGCTTTTTCAATAACACAGTGTAACTGCACGGCCATTGGTTCGTGCAGTAAGTTAAAAAACGAACCAATGGCAAAAAAAATAAAAAGGTGAATGCAAACATTATCTCTCAATTCAGACTTTTTTTCTCACAATTTCAAGGGGGAAAAAACACAGAAATGTGAGATAGAAATGCTGAATTATAACAGAAAAAAATTTGAATTGGGATATATAAACTCAGAATTGTGAGAAAAAGTACAAATTATGAGACACAAAGTTGCAATTACCTTCATTTTTTATTTATTTATTGTGTTTAGTTTTGTTTTTTAATTCCTTGGTGGAAACAAACTTCCATATGAATTCCATTAAATTATAGTACATGCAAAATATGCAAACCATGTGCAAACAAATGATGCTATGATGAGTTTTTCTCAGATTTTCTAACTATTTTGCAATCATTTTTATCAAGCTGCTATGAAGGTGATTTTTAGTAGACGCATGCAGTTAGGCTTATTTTATTTTCTCTTCCATTTAGTTTGACATTTTGTCACATAATGCAAAGACATTCATACATTGTAAGTGTGGCTTAAGTATACAAACACGTTTTACACGCATGTGGCCATGAATAAACAAAGCCCTTAAAAAACTCAACTTTAGTATTAGAACATCTGATTGTCACAGTCTCTTTACATCAAAGCTGCCAGAACAGATTAGTTTGTTCTTGACCATGAGAATTTCAGTCAAGCTTAGTGTTCAAATGCAATGGGAAATCAATTACCTCTGAAATAACTATTGCAAATCAAGAAAATCTCGATCTGAACATTGCCACTTGTGATTATGATTGAGATGAAAACATGCCCAAGTCTTTCTATTCTTTATGCATGAACTGTCCTGAAATTAAAAACTGCTCGTTTTATTATTCAGCAAATGAGTCTGCTGTTTTTCTCAGGCAGGAGAGTGTGAAGGCCGTTGCTGAACGCTGCATGCTAATCCGAGAGCGTTTGCGTGAGAGACTGAGGCTTCTGGGTGGTCCGTGGCAGTGGGATCACATAATAAAACCTGGAGGGCTTTATTGCTGTTTTGGACTCAACAGTGAGTGATACATATTACATAATACATGCATATGGTTATTATAGCCTAATGCAAATTTCTTCAATATTTTTGGACTAGCAGTTCAGCATAACAGTGCTAACATTATAAAGGGGAGCTCAATACATCAGTATACATTTAAATGCGCAATAATCAGTTTCATGTTCTCTATCAGCTCAACAGGTTGACTTCCTGGTTCAGAAGAAACACATCTACTTGTTACCCAATGGGTGTCTGAATGTTAGTGCCATTAACAGCCGTAACCTGGACTATGTTGCTGAATCCATACATCAAGCCTTAAGCTCGAAACTCTGATCTCACTTCACACTAGAACTTCAACTTCATCTGTAGTATGCCTTCAGCTATGCATTGGGAATTTCTGTCTTTGTATGTATATTTCAAATATATTCAAGGGAACTATTAACTTTCTATGGCTTAACTTTTACCAAAGGCTGTAATGCAGACAGATCTGCAATCGGCATTGCTGGTTTCCTATTTTATAATTAATAGTTATTTAGTTTTTTGTGATATATTTATAGGTCAGACTGTTTTTGATAGGGCCGAAAGAAGTAACTCATAAGAAATAAAAGAACATCTGTATATCAGTCGCAGTGTGATGCCACTTATCAAGCAACATTCTCACATTTCTCTCCCATACAACAATCAGAAGAATATTCATTACCATATTCACACATCAGTATCACGAGTTTCACAATTTGAGTTGAATTACTGAAATAAATGAACTTTTCCACGACATTCTAATTTATTGAGATGCACCTGTAATGTCATGGTCTGAAATGAAAGATACCATTTTTTAATCAGCTGTTGTTTATTTATTTATTTATTTTCCCCCAGTTTTTGATGATGAGATAAAAGCATATATTTTTATGATTTCAATTATTAGCTTTAATAAAAACGAAGATAATATATTTTCTTTCTCTTTCTATTTTTATATCAATACGGTACAAGATTATCCTATTTAAATCAATGTGATAAATGAGTTAGGACAAAAGTAATCTAAAAGTATTCAAAAAGTAGGCTGATTATATTACCTAAAATGTGTAATGTAACGGATTATGTTACTAACTACAACTTTTGTCATGTAATTTGAAATCAGTAACAGACTACAATTTGTAAGTAATCTACCTAGCACTGTATATATATATATATATATATGAAGATATTTAGATATTTATGTATTTTTTATTATTTATTTGCTTGATCATACAATGTAAGTTAATTTGCTTCTCACTCTTAAATTTTTTTTTCATCTTATTCCTGTGTGCTCGTCAAAAGAAAGTAAGTCGTACAGGTTTGGAATGACATGAGTGTGAATAAATGATGACAATTTTCATTTTTGGAGAACTATCCCTTCTACTGATCTCATAATGCCGCTCTGATGTTAACACCCACAGTTAGACAAGATATGGCAGGCATCATATTTGGTTCCTCCTATCAGTGGGAATGTAAAGAGTTAACAAACCCACACTTACAATTAATTGAACATGACCATTTCCCTTTTGTAGTACCACTGGGTAATAAAAGTAAATAGTCTGTTTTATTCTTGTATAATAATTAAAATAAATGTCCAGGGTGCTAATAAAAGTGTTCGGTGTCCTTGAAAAGTGTCTAGTGTACAAATAGTTACCACGTTATTTCTTATTATTTTTCAGTAAAATTGAAAACAACATGACACAACCCAGCAAAGCTGTTTCAGAGGCTATATCTGGTGACAAATTGTGACAGAACAAGATGACTTCCACGTTAAAAGTGACAGACAATCTATTGTGCTCTAAGACAAAACTGCATTGAAGACAGAATTGATCAAAACAATTCCAACCAAGACAAACACAGCTTCACTTACACTTACCCCTTATGGATTTCAAAACATTTAACATTAATCAAAGGACATTACCGGAGCTACATGTTTTTAAGATATTGATATGCCTTTGTGCTTTCTTTCACCCATTAGTCAGGTCTAATAGTCTTATTCCTTTAATAGTCTCATGCCTTTGTTCTCCACTGATAATTTACTGCTTTCTTTGTAAGTGACAGCAAGGACAGCAGCAGTAAGCTGCCCACATGGTGACCGTTCAATACAATCCAAATACATCTGGTGAAGCCCAACAGTCGCTGCAGTTCTGACAGCTATTTCCTCCACATGATGAGTTTTACTTTCCTTGGTGGATGACTCACCGCTCTTGACAAGTGAAAACAAATCTTTTTCTGGTTAACCATATGATTTGCATTCAAAATCCAGTGTGAGAGTCATAAGTGCTTTGTCTTCCTGAATCAAACCCCCTTTTGATGTAATATTTCACATTATACTACAGTTTATTATGATATTTAATTTTAATTGGCTAAATGGTGCTCCAACAGTTATAGAGTTCAGCAGCACTGGGACTTTGCGGTGAGTCTTAACAATGGAATACACTGCGTAAAATCACATGTAATTTGCAAAACTGTTTTATGGAGTTATTGTCAACTGAAAGCGTTTTGGAAAGATGTTTAGCTGAAAAACTGGCATGGTTTTAAACAGCAGCACAATCCATTGAACGCACTGAAATTCTGTCCCTCACAGCCTCATTTTCATTCCTGTCAAAAATTAAATATGGAGCTTCCTGGTAGGGTTATGTTCATTAACTTAAACTAAAACTAAAACCATAAAAAAACATTTTCATTACTTGGATAGATGGATAAATAAACAACAAACAAACATTAACTGAAATAAAACATAAAAAACTTAAACTTGGATCAACTTGAGGATGAGTAAATGATGACAGAATTTTCATCTTTTTTGGGGGGGAAAAAAAAAATATATATATATATACACACACACACACACATACACATGAATCCAATAATGTGGCATAAAATGGACGGATATTAAATCGATAAGGTAGTCAACAAAATAAAAGTGATGGAAAATGCTGAAGGGGGCACTACCTTGACCTTGAGCAGAAGGACCCAGGTATGTCAATCATTTCTCTCCAGGCTGAGATACGAATTCAGAGCAACACGGTCAGAGCACTTAGAAGATCACAGAAACACTCTACTGTAGTGGAAGAGGGCTCTTTGCAAACCAGGCAACTAGAAACATCTGCACATTTCAACCTGTGTTTCCATGTCTGGAGCAGAGAGGTAATATGCTATTGTCATGAGTGGTTTATAAATAAAAACATAGTGCGTCATTTTCATTTTTCAGCAGCAGCTTTTTTGTAACACTTTGATGAGAGTCAGTTGATGTTTTGAGCTGACCTGTGCTCTGGAGGAGTATTGTTTGCTCAGAATTGGATGTGTTTCAATGACTTCTGAGATCTGCCAAGATTTTCCAGACATCGTAAAGAGCATTCTGAAAACACACTGAATTATTCAGTAGAATTGCAAGTGCAGGACCTTAATCATGAGATGATTAATTAAACAACAAGAAATATTAGTGTGAAGAACCCTTCATTGGTATACCAGTGATAATTTGTCCAAAAAATAAATATTCTGTCATAATTTACGCACCCTCAAGAGTTTCTTTCTTCCATAGAACACAAAAGGGGATATTTTCAATATCGTGCTGATTGCTCTTTGCCATTCAGTTATAATATTTGGGGACTGTGGCTTTCAAGCTTAAAAAAAAATTGCACCATAAAAATACCATACAAGTAGTCCATATTATTATGCATTATATTCCAAGTCTTTTGAAGCCATATGATAGTTTTGTGTAAGAAACCGACTGTACATAGAGTACAGTACACTACAGTTCAAAAGAATGGGGATGGTAAGATTTTTTAAATGCTTTTTGAAAGAAGGATCACCAAGGATTTATTTGACTAAAATATAGTTAAAACAGCAATATTGTGAAATATTATTACAATTTAAAAAACTGTATTTATTTGAAGTATAAATCTTTTGTAACACTATAAATGTCTTTACTGTCAGTTTTGTTCAATGTAATGCATCCTTGCTGAATAAAATGAAAAACAACAACAATAATAATAATAATCATAAAAATAAATATTTTTTTTTCTTCAAAACTCAGCAACGTACAGAAAGTCAAAATGTCATTCACAACCTATTTTGACTGACAGAATATTAAAATATGACATTTACAAATACTTGTGATTCACCAGTGACTAAAGTAAAAGCTACAGGACGTTTAGTCAGATAGACTCCAGAGCCCTGAACAGAGTAGTCTGCTCTGTGGTCTTTAACCCAGCTCTTTGACATACTGTCATACTCATTTGAGACTCTGTTTGTGAGTCCCGTACAGAGAGTGTAATTTTTGTAAAGGACAATCCAATAATCTAAGTCAATTTGACAGAGCAAGGGGTCGTTCACAGATTCACAGTCCAAACAGATAAACAAAAATCCAAAATACAGTAATTACAATTTTTTTGCTAATGGACGCTCAGTTCGGCAGCCTGGCTGTTTTGAGCCAATCGTCTGAGCCATACATGTGACTAATCACTGTAGAGCAGCAGGAAAATTTCATCATGACAACGCTGATTGGCAGATGTCAAGAATATACAGTCTCTAAAGGGGTCATAGGATGCCCATTTTCCACAAGTTGATATGATTCTTTAGGGTTTTAATGAAAAGTCTGTAACATAGTTTGGTTAAAATTTCTCAATGGTAGTGTAAAAAACACCTTTTTTACCCTGTCAAAAACAGCTCTTTTCAGAGCATGCAGATTTGTAGCATTTTCCTTTAAATGTTAATGAGCTCTGCTGACCCCGCCCCTCTCTTCCGAGCTGCTCTCACAGACTGTTTACTTTAGCTGACAGGCATCTGAGATCGGCTCGATTTGAGAAAGGGGTCTGCGAGATAAAAGATTAACAAAAAACCACTGGGTGGATTTGTATCATTTTAGGGTGGTTGTGTACACACACTGCCAACACACATTTCAGTTCAAACAACTTGTAAAAGTGCATGTAGCATTATATGACCCCTTTAAAGTTTTTATTTTTTATTTTTCAGTTGCCTTTTTGATCATTTTTGCAAAAATTTCACGGCCCCAGGAATATTTTGTTTTATGAATGTTTGAACATGCAATATTTCAAAAGAAAGAACAGAGCGGGCAAAAAAAAAAAAAAGGGAGAGAGTGAGTTTCATTAAAAAGACTAAGTCCGGTTCAGATTCAGAACATGATTAAAACGTAGATAGAGTATATAGACCGCTTCCATAGATATGCTCTGGAGCTCTAACTTCTTTGAAATCTTCTCCAGTTCATTTTCTCTGTTTAGACATGAATAATACACTGAAGAGCTGCTTTATAGTAGAAAGTAAAGTTTTAATTTTAATTGAAAGCAACACTGACACTGTTTTTTTTCATGTTTAATTCTGTAAAGCTGCTTGCTTTAATGGAATCTGTTCTAGAAGTGCTATGTAAATAAATGTGACGTGACTTGACTGGAGTGCAGAACTGTAGAGCTCATGCAAACATCCACATCGCTATGATCTGCTGCTTGCTTAACTGCTGTTTTCTC